CTACTGGACTCTTTTAGAATATTTTGCTGAGTTTACACACCTATAATATTCAATAACGGAACTTAGAAAAAATAGGGTATAGAGATGAATGTCCATTTTGTATCTGTGTATTCAAAGTGGTTGGGATAGATATATAGTTGCATTCTCTTAAAGAATAGGATGATTTGTTCTAATGGTGTTTGTAAATAGGATCTCAAGTCCACATCTTGTACAGCAATTAACCACTAAGAAGAATATATGCAGTGTGTTATTTGTTGAAACTGTACTACTGATTGGATTTGAAACTGTCTCATTGCTATCTGTTTATCAATAAAATTTTGAAAAAAAATATGCTGGGTTCAGTTCTTGGGAAACTAAGTATGTTGAGGGGATGCACCTACAATTCAAATGTAAATTTTACAAAAATCTAAATTTAAGTCAAAAGTTTTGATAAAAGTTTAGCATCCAAATTGAGACAGTCTGGAGTTTGAAATTTTAACAAGAACAAAAGAACATAAAATGTCAAGATTTTTTAAATATTGGTAAATGGAAATAATAATGTTTTGGATACACTGCACTGGATTAAGTATGTTTTATTATAATATATACATACATGTTTTTACTTTTTAAAATGTAGCTATGAGAAAATTTCAAGTTACACTGGGACTCTAGATTTCTACTGCACAGTACTGCCTAGAGCTAGAATCTTCCTTTTTGCAAGTATTCTCAATGAATGTAATAATCTTGTTCCCAAGCTCCAGGCCCATGACAAAGGCTTACTTCTCCCTGGCGTGCCATATGGCATTGAGCCTACCTGGATGCTTGTCTGGGGGGTCACCTCTGTGACCTGGAAATTCTAAGGCCACCTGCTTTCACATAACTACCTCACTGCCAATGCTCTCCTGGACATTCCTGAAGACATGCCTACAGAAATCTAACTGTGAATTGGTGGTAAGATTCCTCTTGGCTAGGAAAGAGTCTCCAGGGTTTCATGACTCTAAAACCAAATGAAAAGTTTATTCTTCAAATATAGCCAATTGGGTATACTTAAAAGGGACCTCAAGTCAAAATACCAACCAGAGGTGAAAGGACTCATTAAAAACAAATAAATATTTTTTACAAAGATGAGCAAATGGTAGACTGAAACAAAACAAACTTTATTTAGCTACCTGGGAAGAAAGACCTACATGAATCAAGTACAAATTCAGCTGGTATCTCCTCATGCCACTTGGGAGAAGCACACAGAGAGTGAAGTGGGGAAAGACACTACCTCTGTCCACATTCCTGAGCAGGTCTCTACTAGATGCTCACAGGCCAAGGATACATTTTTCTTTGCACTGGCTCATCCACTGCACTGGTTCACTTCTGCAGCTGCAGTGCAGGCACCACGCCCAACGATGCCGTGGGGGGATCCTTGGCACCCAGATGACAAATCTGATGTGTTGTCTTGAAGCCAGCCTGTATCTTCACTAATCATTTTTAAACTGTCAGGCAAAATTTCTTTTCTTCTTAGAGCAAAAGGTAGACAAAGGCACATGTGTACTTATAAAAACAAATCTTAACTTTGCCATTCAAAATTGTAAAGCAACCAAATGTGAGAAATTACAACAAATTACATGAGTGATAACAATAGCACTATTCACAATAGGTAAAGGTGGAACAACTCAAATAGCTAACAATCAGTGGGTGAATAAACAAAATGCCCAAGAGGAATGAATTACTGATGCATGTATGAAACCCAAAAAGATCAAAAGCATTATGACAGAAACAAACAAACAAAAAAACCCCATGGTCTCATTCCATGGTAGGAGATGCTGAGAACAGCCCAGCTCCTGCAGGCCAAAAGCAAATCAGTGGTTGCCAGAGGCAGGTGGCATGGGGGACTACTGAGTGTCTCATGGGTGCAGGGGCTTTTGCTGTAGGGCTGACAATGCTAGGGAAAGAGAGGCGGTGGGTGCTCACCACTGACAATGCGCTCAGTGCCAGAGTTGTACCTGAAAATGGTTCAATCCTTCTTACGTGAATTACACCTCACATGTTAACAAGGAAAGAGTGAGACAGGCCAGAAAAGCTCAAGGGCCTTTGAGTCCCACTGCAAAAAGAAAATGGAGGTGAAGGAGCAGGCACTGCTGAACAATTGAAGAAACAAAGGGAAGGGAAGGGAAGGAAAAGGAGGAGGAGATCTTACTACCAATCTAAGAAGGCTATAGTCATTAGAAAGAGATGCAAATGAAAGTTACCAAAAGTTTCCTTACTCTTTTGAAAATAACTTAGGGTGTGTGTGTGTGTGTGTGTGTGTGTGTGTGTGTGTGTGTCTGTGTGTCTGTGTGTGGTGCTGGAGGTTGGAGGCAGGCCCTTTGCACTTAGCTACATTCCCCAGCTCCTGATAATGTTTTATTTCAAGCAGGGTCTTGCTACTTTGTTACAGTGCCCCTGCTGGGCCCAAACTTGTGAGTACAGAGCTCACAGGCAGGAGACACAGCACCCTGCACTAACCTACTGTGCTAAAGTATGTAAATGACTCTCTAAGGAGACAGACAAGGCATCAGAGAAGTGCCTTTCCAAGGCCAGTGACAGGGTCTGGAGGAGAAGAAGGTGCAGAGGGAGAGCATTGAGTGCAGGGGAGGCTTGGAAGGCCCGGGGACTGTCACACTGGTGCATCTGGCACCCACTGAGTCCCACAGGAGTGCAGGTCTCTGGTGTCCTCAGTCTCAGCGTGACCTTTCTCTCTTGTGGATTCTTTTGATTTTGCACACTACATGTGCACCAGTTACAATCTATACATTACACACAACCTTTCAATCTGAACACATGTGCACCAACTACGGTGTCCTGAAAGCTGCTTCCCCAAGTTCATGGGTGCATATTCTGTCCAGGAAAACCAGTTTTCAAAAAGCAGGTATTTCCTGTCACGTGGGAAAACATGGATGAACCATGAGCACGTTACACCAAGTGGCACAAGCTTGTATCCAGGTGATGGGCCCTGTCGGGAACCGGCTGCCTTGAATCACCCAGCACATGCAAACTCATGGAGACCAAAGGCAGAATGAGTGCAGGCTGCCAGGGCTGGGTAGCAGGAAGTGCGGAGCTGCTGTTTAGGCAGCTGCAAGATGCAAAGCTCCTAGAGCTGTGCTGAGCCAGCGTATGCAGGGACTGGCCACTACTGAGTGCTGCCCTGCAAGTGGTGACCATAGAGCATCTTGTGGTGCATTTTACAACCAAAATGTACAAGCTGCTCACCTTGCTCAGACATGAGCCAGAAGTGTATTCCTATTGTCATTTCATCATTTGGAGAAATTGCAAGTCTCAAGGGTTTTAAATGAGGCTAGTGGGCCGGGGAGATAATTCAGCGGTCTAAGTGCCTGCCTGGCAAGCGCAAAGACCTGGGTTTGATTCCTGGTACTACATGCAATGCCAGCCCCAAAATCCAGGGTGTACCCAATTGGCCAAGAAAACTGCATGGTGGCACACCCCTGTAATCCCAGTACTCGGGAGGCTGAGACAGGAGGATCACTATGAGTCTGAGCTGTGTAGTGAGAACCTGTGTCAAATTAGTAAATAAATAAATATTTTTTAAAGATAAAGTGAACCTAGTTTCAGCACACATTAAAACACTACAGCAAAAGTATGTCAGCAACAATGAAAATAACCATCTGTAAGACAATCACAGCTTATTAAATGCATTCCCTCTTTCTATGTAAAAATCATGGGATTATGTTTTAGTTTAAAGCTTATGCTTTCAAATGTAAAATACTGAAACATCAAAAACACCAAAGATGAAGTAAAAACTCAGAAGAGATTTAGTTCTATGCTTAAATGTTTTAAAAAATAGGAAAACTGAGATAAGACTCAGGACTTTGGGTTGGCTGGCAGGCTTCTGTTGATGCTATCACCGATATTACCAACTGTGTGGCCTCAGTGTGATATCTCAGTGGTCTGTGTGGCTACTGTCACCAGAGGCACTGGACACAGCCCCCTGCACCTGCACCTGCACCTGCATCTCCTCATGGGGCTGCAGTTGTTGTTGCAGGGCAGGAGGAACCTGGAATCTCTGCGGAGTAAAGCTGTACTGGGCAGAGGAAAACTCACCCACAGTACTTGGCGCAGGCTGCAAAAAATGCCCTTCTCCAGCAAGGTTCATCGTAATATCTTGCTGAGTTGGCAAGGCCCACTGCTGACTGCTCAGACCTTGCACAAAAGCCTGTGAGCTGTGCTGTGGTGGAAAAGTAGTGGACTGCTCAAGCTGTTGTGGAATCAACTGACACAGCTCAGGCTGGAGTTGGGACTGGGGTTGGAATTGGAGCTGGGATTGGAATTGGGGCTGGGGCTGGAATTGGGGCAGGAATTGGAATTGGGGCTGGGATTGGAATTGGGGCTGGG